ATCTGGGCATGTCCCCCCTCTATTCTTCGGCGGGGTCCTGACTGCTGTTTCATTCAGGCTCTCTGTCTTGTAATATAAACACTAAAACAATAAAACTAGATATGGCTAGTTTCTTTTTCGAGTCCTTGACTTAGTTATGACCATTTTAACCAAAGAACCGTGATTATGGTACCTTCCTGATAAGAGCTCTGGGTCGAGAGTGGAAAACTACTTCGGAGAGTCGCAAGTTGCGTGACGCAATTTCGAAGGAACTACTCTTAATATTGTCAAAAAGGCGTCTATGCATCAGTTCCAAGGCAGCATCTTTTTTTGTATGCAGCTTGGAGTGGAACACTGTTTGCTAACATGCCTTGAACTGATTCCTTTCTGTCAGTAACGAGACTTGTTTGGCTTTGGGGTTAACTTTTGTTGCATTCACAGTAGGAAAGCGAATAAGCTCATTAACCTTAGCTTTAAGCATTGCCCGTGGACGTCCTTTCTCTTTGACGCGATAAAGCAGATCATATTTACCTTTTAGTAAATCATTGACAAGATCTGCTAAGTCAGTATAATAATATCTCGTTCAGTGCAAGTAGCAAGAACGAAAGCAAACGAGAACGCTGTTGTACTGATGAGTGATGATATATAATACTATGTTTCTCTGAAGCCGCTGGTTTAGTCATGCAAATAGCTAAACTAATAGACTAATTAACCTTGAACTTGAATACAATATTGGCTAAAGGGAAAGTTGCGTCAGTGTTAATTTCTTTTCCAGTGAACTGACCTAGCTAATCGTGCAATCGGACCAGGTACTCTAAATAGTGTTATTTACTAGCATGTATGTACATATATGCGGCCGATCCCCTTTAAGGGTTCAGCTTTATAAAACTATTTAATTCAGTTGTAGTTTAACTGGTAAAACCTTCTGAGCGAAGAAGCTAATTCAAATCTAGCCACCATCTTAGTGTTTATTTTAGTGCTTTTTACCCAAAAAATGCAAAAACTTTACACTACTGTGTGAATTTTCTCTGGGTAAAAGCTCTATTTAGCCTACAAAGGGGTCATTTTTGTAATTTTAGAATTTAAAAAAAGCGCATAAGATAAGAGATCATCTCTTTTATCACGTTGCTTACACATGTACCTGCATACATTTTAATTTTTTTTTTTTCTATCTTACCTTTTTGCGGGTGCATGTGTAAGCAACAATTTTAGGGCTTAGATCACAGTGATATAGGCATACTTTTGGTCATCATTTAAAGATATAGGTGACTTCTTAGTGGGAAGACTACGTAGATTATTTTGACATCTGACCGTGAGCAGTTATCGAAGCATTCGTCCTTTAATGTACATTTCATCAGCGTGAGGATTGCATTTCTTTCCTAGACTGCTATCGTACAAGCGCTGGTAACAAACAAGCCTATATATAAGAACTCCAGCAGCTCTACTTGAGTTAATCTTCACCCAACTGCAGGGAGGTGGCATGTGCTTAACTAACTCATTAATGGGTTCCATAATGCATTTTGCTGATCCGGCTGCTTTGGATATACTACTGTACTGCCTGTGCTTTGCCCCTTACCTCTCTCTACTTGGAGCTCACAGATCATAGGGCAGTGTGCTGTCCATTTGCTAAGTTCTAAGTATAAAGATAGCTGGAGAGAGACAATTAGTTGCGGACGAAACCTATGGCTACGGTCTGTTCTTCTAATGAATGTTATGTTAATAGCTCTCTTTTGTCGTATCTAGACCCTATTATATCTTTATTGAAGGTTTAGTTAATTGTTAACCTATGGAGTTGTGACTTGACAATTAGTACTTCCTTCTAATAAATGATGCAGTAAGATATAAAGTGTTATTACATGCTGTTAACCTATTAATGTGTCTATATATTAGATATAGGTACTCTTTGGTTGAAGTAATACGACTAAATAATACAGTAATTGCTTCTGGTACATAGTATAGTAATAGCGCAGTGCTATTTACTAGTATATATATATTTCCGGACCTCCCGTTAAAGGTTACAGCTCAGGCGCCCTAATCTAATTCATTAAAAAATCAAGAAGCTCTCATAAAATTGTGTAAAAAGGTGGGACGAAAAACGGTTCGAGGTAATACGGCACGGCACAGTGGAATGAAGAGTCAGGATTAAAGCTATCTCGTGAAAGTTGTAGACAGTATATACACAAATCTGGACTAAAATTTAATGAGGTATGGCATAAATATTGTATACATTTTCAGCCTATGTATTTTTATATTACACGAAGTCTAAAGAAAAACCGTTTCTTACCAAAAAAATAAAGAAAATATAAATATGAATGCACGAAATCTAAACTACCATGGGGTGTGGACGACAAGCAAAATTATCTTAGTGATTAATTAAACTTGGATGTTTGTGATAAGGCTTCATTAAAAACGAGTTATCAGGTCAAAAAATTAAGCTTTTATGCAGACTGCATGCAACACACCATGAAACTCTCAAAAGGGATGATGAAAAGACTGTAGGCCAGCAAAAGACTTGGGGTAACTTTGAGTTTATCGACCGTATGGTAAACGTAGAGAAATATTAGAATATATTAACAAATGATCTTCTTTCGAGTATCAACAAGCTGTCGGCTGAGGGAAATTGTGTTTACCAAGATGGAGCCTCTTTACATAAAACCAATTCAAAACGAAATTGCTCTCTGAGAAGGGATAACAATTTTGTCATGATCTTCTATAGCCGGGCCTTAATATTTTAAAAATATTCTGGCATAAGATGAAGCAGCATTTAAGAACTAACCCTCAGAGACAATTTTAGATGTAAAGTTAAAACTGAAAATTTATGGAACTAAGTTTATACCTGAGTTTTTTAATCTTTAGCAGCAACCATGCCAAGCAGAAAAGCAGTGATTGTTAGGGCGAATGGAGATGTAACACCATATTAAACTGCACATAGATTTTGTTTCAAGATATAGTTGCCAGCGGTTTTTCATGGTTTTTGTAATAAAAGATTTTTTGTAGGCTTAATACCGACTTTTGTAACGTATAATGCATAGTTCAGTAATAAAACTTCATATTCGTGTAAAATAATTTTTATAAACTTACTGCTGCTATTAAACATTAACACACGAAATATCAAAATGGCTTGCCCCAAGAACTCTTAACCTAACCCTAACTTTTAACCCTAATGATGGGTACATAATATTTATTGGTTACTATGTCTTCATCTTAATAACCGAAAAACCTTTTCTTGACATTCAGTCGATAAGTAGCGTTTATTGTAATTCATGGATTTATATTTTACTTTATATCAAAATCAAATATTTTATTTGTGATGAAGGTGGAAGAACTTAAAGTACATTGTTGTATATTATAAAAACAGCACCATTTACGGATTCGTAGAGATGGAAGAGGTCTAAGCCGGATTATATGAGATACCTAACCTTAAAGTTTGCTGAACACTAAAGATAGTGATTTCAAATAGCTATATAATACCTCAATTAAATTATGCACCACTAAATTAAACAACGTCTGCACAATTTTAAAAATGCCTGCTAGTTCTTCTTAGAGCCATTTTGAGTTACAATTTACTATACGGGAACAAGTTTTGAATAGTATAAATACAAACTGAAAAACTCTTTAATAAAGTAATGCGATATTACTTTTCTTTCGCTTTGTTGCTCTCAATCCTTTGTTAATTTTAATATACTGAACGCAAACTTTAGAGTATTTAATTCGGTGTAAATAGTGATTATCTGTAAAGAATAAGTTTTTAGGCAATAAATTTTACCTTATAAAAGTAAGCGGCCTTTTTTCAAAAAACCTTGTAACCCATCATTATGTTTATTATAGATTTTTCGTAAGAAGGGATGTATTTTATAGAAAAAATCATTTTTGTTTACTGTTTCAAAGTGTCTAATTGTCTAAATAAAATTAAATGTGTAAATTAAAAATATATTTTATTTTTTAATAAGTTTTTGGCGCTCTAAATTTAATTCAATAAAAAGTTTTTTTTATTAGCACTACAATAATTGAAGCATCTTAAGTTTCACCATTCGCTGGCAAAGTTTGCGTATTTAAGAATTAGTAGCACTTTAGCTTTTACGTTAAACAAATAAATTTTTTCAGCTTAGCGCAGAGGTTGCCGTACTATAACAAATTGGTAACAATAAAACTGCAATACCCCTCAAAAAAATAACATTTTAACACATTGCCTACGTTTTGTATGCGGTAAAAGCCAGCTAGAACAAAAGCAATATACCCTGATGGCGCGCATAAAAAACACTTTTTCACATTTTTTATAATAAAATATTTTAATTAATAGCCAAATTCCTGGTGGCCTATGATTATGTGTTCGCTTCTCACTTAAAACTAGACAACTTGTTAATACTTCATTTTGCTTAACTTTTTGGTGAGGAACTATAAATATATAACATGTTGTTAAATTTCATTTAACAACATAAAAGCTGTAAGATAATATTTGAACTTCTACGACAACTCTCACCCTGGTTCTGTGCATTAGATGTTTAACCTGTTAATAAGCAGTGCAGTTTAAGGATTTTACAACTTAATCTGTATTTTTCTTAAGAGGGATATGGGTACGAATACTTAATAGTGAATTCCTCCATAGAAGTATAATAACTAGAAGTTTTGAGAAATTGTTTAGGAATATGCAACGTTATAGTAACTTAAGGCAAATTTTTTAACACTGGCAGCAGTTAAAAAAGATTTTGAGGATTTATGTATAGTCTTAATTTGCCTCTGATTTTGCAGTGTAATACTGGTTATATGATATTCTTTACCTATTATCTATAGAAATTTTTAATTAACGTAGCCTATTATCTTCTGTAGTTATAAACTAAATAAATGACTACTCGCTCATATAGCTGTAATTACATAGGCGGTGTAGTGTTACTTGGAACCGTAAGCTAGAACACGGTGGCGGCGCGAGCCGGGGGATAAGAAACGGGCGGGAAGTAGAGCTATTCATATTTTGCGCTACAGCTGGAAGAGTTTTAAACTATTTTTCTTTAACGTAGTCGGAGCCTCTTTTCTTTCATGATGAAACTCTATTATGTCAGGAGAGACAATATTCAGAAGTGCAGTTTGAGTGCAATAACTTATTACCTTTCGAGCGCCTTATCAAGAGTGGCCTGTGTTTCTACTAGTAGTGATGTCAGTTTTGTAACAAAGGCCGGTTTTAAATGTTTAACTACACCTCTAGTTTACTGCAAGTTTGCTTCCAAATATACCTTTAGAAATCCTATTTTTAGTTATATAAGAATGTACAGCAGCGAGCTCGTTCTAGGAATCCCAAAAACTAGAATGGAAAGACAGTATTACGAAGTTCATCGCCAGTTCCAACCTCGGAATTCCTTTCTAATTCTATTTCAAGTTTATTTTTATCATAATAGTATGAATACTTATAAATTGCAATACGTAATATCCTTCTAGTGTGGAGATTTTTATGAAATTTACAACGAAGATGCCGTTGACGTTAACAAAAGTTGTGGTTTGAAACTCGTTCACAAAAAACATAGTTTTTTTAAAAAAGTATTCGATTAAAAATAAATTTAGCTTTCTTTTCTTGTAGATACTACGTTTCTTGCGTCCAAATAAAGACTCTCTACTTAAAGGAGATTTTTAGTATACTTTCTTAATATTTATATCTAGATGTGTGGGTTCCCTGTTAGAAATCTGGAAAACTGGGTAGAAACGATTTTAAAAAATACAGGTGAGACATTATTACACAATAACAATACTACTTTAAAATAACTTCTGTTTATAGTAGGCGCCATTTATAGTTTTATAAATTGTAATACCAAAACGTAAACTTTTTAAAATCTTGTATAAATTTAATTACTTTTCTTAGACAAGAAGGTTATAATTTGTGAACAGAAGGAGGTTCCGTCTAGAAATAACGTTAAGGAGATCGAACGAATAATTACCAGAATTATAACCCCCGGAACGATGGGTGAGTACGCTTTGGACGGAGACAGGTCGTTAAAGAATTTTATTTATTTGTTTGAAATTTTTTTAAATAATTATATTTATAACTAGAACTTTTTTTCCTTACAAATAATTAAATAGCACATGACTATTTTATTACATTTGTATTTTGCTTAACTTATTTGTTTTTCTTTCGGTATAGGAATTATTTAATGGCCATTCATGAAAGCGGTAATCTTCTTTTGGTAGTTACTGCTGCTCTTCATAACACACTCCGCACTTCAAAGAGTCGCCCGATCACGTGTCATTGGCCTATGTAGACGTCTGCTCAGGTGGTTTTACCGAGTTCCTGCAGGCTGCTGCTGCTGCTGCTGCTCACTACTTTCTTTGTGTCCAACAGGAGAAATAGTTGTGCACACTGGAACCTTCCAGAGTTTTGAGGAGATCGTTTCCTATACAGAGCCCAGCGAGGTCTTTTCTTCTCCTGCATTTGTACAAAATCTCAAACAGTATTTCCAGTTACTGGCTCCGTCCGACATCCAACTGATTATTAAAAGGCTTGCCACATCTTATCTTAAAGAGGTGCAAAACATTATGAAATAATGTCGTCTTCAGTCCTTCACGTGGCATTCTATAAAGTGTTATTACAGCGACTGCGATCTTCATGCCTTGGACTCGCCAAACCCGGCAAAGTCCGGTACACTCCTCATTGGTTAATTATCACGTGCTGTTTCAAGCCAATAATATGCTCGTGTGAAGAGCAACGTGCAAAGTGGGAGGCCTTGCTCGACACCGTTCCTGACTTTTCTGCCAGCGAACGCAAAGTTTGCCGCATGCTGTTTTCCTATCTCGAGTTTCGCCTTTTTGTAGCCACTTATGCGAAATGAGTATCTTTATTTCTCTGAACCGGCCAGATTCACGTTTATAAAGAACCTTCCCGAGATCCACAAGGTGCCAATTGAAATACAAACACGTGGTGGCCACTCAACTTACGCGCTACTCTAGATCTCGCGATTTGAGGCGTCCGTCTACCTCCAGATTGACGCTGAGACCCGGCGCGCACTGGAACTCTTAAAGGGTATCGCGTCCAGTAGCACCAAGGTGTCGCTCTATAAACTACTGGATCGCTGCCGAACGAAGGCTGGAAGGCGCGAGCTGAAGACTCGCGTGGGTCTCCCGTATGCTCAGATGGACGTTATCACTAAAAAGCAAGCCTGTGTGGGCGCGCTTTATAGCGCCTACGCCAGTAATGCTCTCGGTAAAAGCTACATAAGGTCTTTGAAGCGTGTTTGAGCAGCGATAAAAAACGAGGCAAATGCTATTTGGTCAGCTCTTTTTTGAGGGAGTGCGCAGACGTTGAGCGCGTGCTCTACAAGATATCGCAGGGCAAGTTTGGCGTCAGTGAAATGCTTCAGCTTTTGAGCACCTGCGAGAGTGCCGCGGAGGTACACACTACCACAACATATGCCCCACAACTAATGACAGCAAACGTCCATAGTTCTACCAAAGTTTTTCTACCAAACTGTCTGCTAATGAGAAGAATACAGAGATTCTACTGGAGGACATTCGTGCTTTAAATTCTCCTTTTTATAAAAGCCTTGGCGGTTTGTTTAATGACGATGTGAGTTCTTCACTGCCCTTTATTGGTTTTTTATGCTATCCGCCCTATTCAGGGCGAACTAACTGGAGACAAGCGCCTCCGACAGCTCAGAAGTAAAATGGATGCCGTTCAGGAGGGACTCTTTTCACTAGAAAAGCATATAAGAGAGCTAGTAAGACTGCATGGCATGGGTTCCTAAGCCCGTCGTGGAAGTTTCTTTATGGTAGAGTCCTCTCGTGGACCATCTAACGCTTCGCGAGCATCCAGACTTCATCTACTGTCTGGAGGCTTCCTCTAAGCGCGAAACGGCCGTCCGTCAGTTTATAGAGATCTGCCTACAGGATGCAGGGCTCGACACAGCCTTTACTCCATCGCTAAAGCAGAGCACTCGCTCCGTGGTGCGCTACAGCTGCCCAGCGTTGGAAAGGTTGGCATCAGGCGGGTTTACTTGCTTGTTATTAGTGTTCAAGCTTCACTATATTTCGCAGGCTAATCCAACAAAAAGTTGAAATTGAAAAGGAGTTTTCCTCTTACGAAACAGTGCTGCTTTCCAGCGCGATCAACTCTTTTCAGTCTTTGGAAAAATATTTTATCAAATTGGGTACTGGCCCATTAAAATGTTTGCCTCAGCTAAGCCAATCCTACGACATCCAAAAGGTAAAGCGCTGGCGCGATTGGACTATTACGACTCACTGGCCAGAGTAGCTTTTGAGGAGGGCTTCTCCCGGCCAACGCTGCTGCCGTCTGATCACGTGCACTTTGATGTTATAGTAAAGCATTGGTCTGCGCAGCCGCCCTGCTGCTTATTTAATGACATCACTTTTTTCTAAGGGCGGCTTCCATCCAGTAGTGAGGAAACTGCGCCAAAGAAATGCTCATATCTGTTATTCTATACCCGTTGAGTTTTATTGCGCGTTATAATAATGGGCAAGCGCTGTTTTAGATGATAATTTTTCCCTTCACTTTGTTGAGAATGACTGCTCGTTAGGAGGCGACAAAGTACGGTTCTATGGCTTATTAATGTTGCTGGTTTTTAAGTTTTGCGTGTGAACTCTAATAAAAAAGTTTGTATATAATGAGCAAAACGATAGTCCACTGAATATAACGGCGGTTCTACTTGTCCGCGCTCTGATGCACCCAACTTTAAACAAAAATATGAAGTTTTATTTTTCATAGCAGAGTCTTTGGATGATCACTGGCCCCAACATGGGCGGAAAAAGCACTTTCATGAGGCAGAACGCTCTCATTCTCGTCTTGGCTCAGATGGGAAGCTTTGTGCCTGCAAGAAAGTTTGTGAGATTTTCTATAATAGAAAAGTGTGTTACCATCTACATTATTACAGGGCAAAACTCGGAATAGCAGTTTCGCTATTCGCCAGGGTCGGAGCGCATGATGACATCACTCAAAACATGTCCACGTTTATGATTGAAATGTCCGAAACGGCTCGAATACTCAAGCAAGCGACCTCTTCTTCTCTTGTGGTTCGCACGCCGCGCTTACTTTCAACTACAGCATGCCTCTACTTCCCACTCAAACAGATTCTGGACGAAGTGGGGCGTGGAACCGGCACACGAGACGGTACAGCCATTGCAATAGCGGTGCTACGTCGGCTGCATGACATTGGTTGTCGCACTCTGGCTGCTACCCACTACGAAGGATTAGACGTTAGCAACGTCTATTTGCTTTATGAAGTCTTTAATACAAATTCCAATCTTAAGGCCCACTTATCCGACTGCGAGAGGCTCCAGTATTACCAGAGTCAAGCGCTAGTGCAACCAGGTGCCCTCCAGCAGCGCCGCCTTATATTTCCCCAACTGGGTTTACTGTAACCAGACGGGGAAGTAGTCTTCACCTACAAGATGGTCCCTGGTTTATCGAATAAGTCCTACGGGATAGAGGCTGCTAGGTATAACTACAAATTAACGAACGAAAACTAGTACCGCTTGGAGCTGTTGAGCTTATAGTTAAATTGTATATAACTGGCAAGGGTACTTAGTGGGTTGGAAGAACTGTTACATAACACATAAAATTAAAGTCTGATTTATTAATAAGAGAAACGAAAGCCCACGGCTAGTTAACTCTTTTTATGTGTATAGTCAGGCCGGGTTACCCGAGTCTGTCATAAGGGAGGCCAAGCGAATCGCAAAAAGTATAGAGCAGGTCGCTTCACCTAAAACAATTTATAGCCTTTAATAAAACCTTTTTATAATGCGAAGGGACGTGATGGGCAAGAAACGACAAGCGTGGAGCAATGCCAATAGCTGAAAAGCTATTTACCTTTTTAACTTCAGTAACCTTTAACTGTTATTAAATAAAATTTTGTGTTTATTTCTATTTAGATAAAATATTATAAAATCATGGGTTGCTTTTCTCGCCGGTGCGGCTCGCATCTTCTGGTCTTGTTGGTCACGTGCACATACCATCTCTACTAACAACTTTTAGTTAATACTTTCATTTCACATAAACCAGAGTCTTGGATCCGCAACTTCATTTTGATATTGAGGTTTTCGTAATCCTAAAATTACAGATTGCGGTAAGCGATGTGCGGAGGTTAGTAGACTTTCGCAATTAATATAAGACGGCCCAATTTTGTAATTCAGCAGTTAGATTGTAATGTCATTTTTAAATATCCATTTCGTTCAGACATGTAGTGCAAAAAAAACCCAAAACGATCTCTGGGAATAGAAAAAATTGCAGTTCAGTAAGTATACAAGTGAAAACGTAATAATATTTTGGTCATTTGTTCGCTGGAGACTTCCATTTGTTAGTGAATGTTAAGCTAAAGTTAATCGCATTTGAGGGTAGAAAAAATATTATTAAAAAAAAAAACCACCTACTTCATGGTGATAGGGTGTATTTCCCCTCTTTAAATGATCCAAGTTCTTCGCAAAAAAGCGAAATGGGTTATTCAGTAAGATGTTATAAGCTGAGGAAATTTTTAGGCTGCCACTTAAGTCCGCTAGCCTGTTAAAATCGTGCTTGGGAGCAATCGTAGATTAATTCTAACTTCCTGGTGGTTTTTGGATTTGTTAAACAAACACAAAGTGGCCTATCATCAGTAAATTATATCAATATTTTTTTATATCTACATATTTAAAGATGATTAAAAAAACCGCTGCAAGTTTAGTAGAGTTCTTGACTACAACATTTTAAGTTTGATCTTATAAATGAAGTGCGTTTGGTCATTCGACTTGTCAATTGCAGCATGGTGGAAGTGAAAAATATAGGCAAAATATCTTAAAATAATTTAACATATAATTATTTTGCTATGTATGTTTATTTTACTATACTGTACTTTCCTTGCCATGTTTCAGTATTTAATCTTTTTTTTTATTCAAATCATTTACTAAAATTACAGCTCTAATATATATACACTCCGCATAGCAGCTCATATTTTGGTATTACTTCACTAAATTTAAGCTAATCAAATTTAATCTTTCCGTGCAATACGGCTATACAATTATTAATAATCCAAGAAATTATTATCTTTTGCATTAAAGTCAAGTCCTAATAATATACAGATTTAACTCCTTTCATGATTAATCGTTTCCTTTTTTGTAAAACAAAAGTAGGTGTTTCCTTGCATGGGCTTTGGTTATTTACTTTTGCTTAGACTTGGTCAATTGTTTTTGCTTTAGGAAGTTGAGACATAACTGCCTTAAAAGGCATAGTGATAAAGCCTTTTTAATGGTCATGCTGTAAAAACGCACAAGATGTATTAGTAGCGTTGATTAGTCTACTTTTGGCAATAAAGCATTTTTGGTTGGGCATACAGTTAAGAATCTTTTGGTCGGAAAACATCTCAAGGCATTGCAGATAGCTGAGCTTCTTAAACATCTACAAAAGTATCTGGTGTTTATGCGACGAAAGTAGCATATGTTCACATAGGTGAAAAGAACTTTAATGGGTGGCTCGAGTGGTTATACCTTAGCTCAGCTTAATATTTCTACTGGAAAAGAGTCCTCTTATCATGAGATGTCGTCATGTCAAGATAACCCGTAAAATTGACTCTCAAGCCGCTAATAGTTTTATGACAAAAATGCTTTGAACGGGAGTATACATATTAACCGAAGTTATAGTGCGTTAGACGCAAGTGCCTAAAGTACACTTACAAGCTGCTATGCACAAGAATTGCTTCGCGTTATCTTTGCATGATTAAGTCATTAAAAAGAACGTCTTGAGTTTCCGCTATCCACTGAAAGGTAAATAAAAGACCAATAGCACATGGGTGCCCGGTACTGATCTCTCCAAAGCGGGAATATGTGTTATAGGTTTTTTACAATTCTGCAGTGGGGCTATTGGCGAGCTGACTAAGGAATGTTTTTCGTATAGGGGCAGTTGTCACTGTCCGTAAATTTTTTACCGCAGTTTTAGTTTGTATTTCAAATCCTGTAACGCTATGCAGTAGTCCTTTACGACAGACTCACCAAGCACACTACTCGCTTGCTGGCGAGCGAACTTATTTACGAGCCATGGGACGAGGCACGTTAATTCACATACGTGATGCGCTTAAGAACGTTCTTTTTTTTTTTGTTAATATAAAAAAATAATAACACCCTGAATGCTATTTGTAATGTACCTGCTGTCACTTCTAATTGAGAACTCGAGTACTCGAAGTCTTAAACTCGATCAAGCACCAGTAATTGTCTATTAAAAAATAAATAAGTAAATAAAGTGGCAATCTTTTTCTCTTTCTGTTGTTGGTCTCTTATTACTGTTCCTAAGTAATTAGATACCGTTAGTCCGTTAAATTAATTAGTATTTTTAAACTTATTAAGAGCCAAGAGTTTTGAAGTTTTTTTTTCGTGGTACATCAGTTGTTTCTTTTATTTTTTTAGCACGAGGGAACACGTAACGATTAATCAAACTTGTGTTCGAAAGTTAAAAATTGAAGCAGACTGGGTTTTACAACACAACTACTACTTCTGACGGAGTGTAAGATCTGAGCCTTTAGGTTTTGAAGGATCTACTGGCTCTGTTTTTAGATATTATAGGCCTGTTTAGCAATCAACCAACTCTTGACCTCCGAGACGTGCTCAAGTTCTATCCAGATGGCTGGGTGCCCAGTATCCATTAAAAACCGCACTGTCGTCCCCTCGTCAACTCTCAGCGGAGTTCACGCAAGACACTGCCTTTCCATCGCTACTATTTACACTCCATACAACCGATATATGTCTCTGCCAGTCTATCCTTATGCATCTGTTAATCCATCGTTAACGTCACTAGTCCTACGACGTCAACATCTAAAGTTTATCTTGACGCGCTTGCCACCTGTTATCGTCATGGGGTCTCTTAATAGACGTAGTAATGAGCAAGGCGGTATTTTGGTAACTAAGAAAGTTTCTTCAATGTTAGCTCCGTTAACCTTCACAAGTAACCTGGGAGACCTTAGGTTGTTGTGGTTTTGCACGTGATTTATGCGGTGGCAGAGGTTAAGGCAGCGACTCAAGCACGTCATTCATTGTGCAGCAAAAGTAAGCTTTCGTTGCGCAATAAGCAAAGACTGTTGTGGTCTACTCGGCCGATAATGACATATGCTGCTGCTGTCTGGGCCTACGGTTCATCGACAATAGCGTTTTCACTCCAAATGCATCAAAGCACATGCCGAGTCTCTAACAAACGCGCTGTGGTTTGCACGCAATGATACAACCAAACTAAGGTCGAGCCGCTGGCCACAATTTTTATAAATAATGCTGTGACCCTTAACAAACGGGTTATTGAACAAGCTACTCTTTAACTGGAAAAGCACACTTATCAGTCATAGGGCAGTGCGCAATAGAAATGTCCGCGTGACGCACTCCTAGCATGAGGGTAGGATGCTAAGTTGAAACTTGTAACTAAACGCGAAGGATGCAGAGTTTTAAGATAATAACTTAACTTGTATTTGTAGGCGACTGCAACGGTTTAAGAGCTCAAGTATTACAAGTTGTTAAGCATCGAGCACCAAAAACGCCATTAACAAATTAATAACTGCTCTATAACCATTGTTGTGTAGACAAATTGAATAAGTTTGTTAGGGAGGTTGTTATAGTCTAGACTTGGTTGTACTGCTCTGTTTCTCGTACCAACAGACTTTATTTTTGTCCAAACATTCTTTTAAAATTGCCAACCATCCACCTTTGCCCTTGGACAATATTCTTAACTGTATCGTTTTCATAAAATTAAACAATTTATATACGATGAATTAAGCGATTTTCCTAAGGGTGTCCGACGCAATACAAGCAGTAATAAACGCTTTTAAAGCAACTCAAAATACTTCTCTATTCCTTTTAGATACAATTGAGAATATCTTACACATGTTTTAAAACAGGCAATAACACTATATAAAACTTGAGGGATGCGAAATGAAAAGTATACATTAAAGCATATATGAAGTATGTCAAAGCGATTAACAAAAGTTTTTATAGCCAAAAAGGTTTGTTCAAGACTTTGGGTCTTTTTCTAAACAGTTACCCCTCCAGAGTATGTCAAAGGACACGAGTCGGCAGCTATTTTTACTGCTACATCAGGCTCTCTCTATTAATAAAAAAAAGGGACAAAACAAAACAAATTTTAAATTTTTTTAAAAAAAAACGTATAAGATAACTGTTTGCTAAGTGTCAGGTGCTAGGAAACATAACTTTTCAGAGTCAAAATTGTTAAAAGGCCTGTTACTCTCCTTAAAAAATTTATGTATTTTTTATACCGTCCACATAGATATAGCAGCACCATTTATGTTAAAGTTGTTAGTTAAAATAGTAAGAGAAATTTTTCGTGGGGAAAACTTGGGAACAGCACTTGTTTCAAAATATTTAAAGGAGTAACGTATAATGTGTTGAACTTTAAGCACGTTTATAGGGTAAAAAATTAACTCTTCGTGGTCTTCTTGGTAGAAATATTATAGGTGAGCACACTTTTATCGGTTTAACTAAGCAAACTTGAAAATAGAAATAGGTGGTCAAAAGTTAAATTTAAAAGTTACTGAGGGAGCATAAATACTTTTAAATATTAGAGTTTCTTCAAGTAAAGAGCCGTACTACAACGAAGGATATGAAGTGGATAAATATAAGGCTAGTTTTCTGAGTGCTCTTGAATTTAAAAACAAAAACACTTGTATATCAAGTCCTTAAGTTGCACATTATTAACCGTAAACAACCGTCTATTTTATAAACTTTAACAGTACAAAAGGCTAATTGTCATTCTTAAGAATCCAGTTTTCTAAGTGCTCATGAAATTAACAACAAAAACAATGTTATATTAAGTTCTTTAGTTGGGCAGTATTAACAATAAACTTTCAAAATACAAAAGGCAATTGTTATTCTCAAGGAACCTTTAATCGGCTGACGACCTTAATTAGGTTAAAATTTTGTTTATGGTCTTTCAAACTTTTCAAAACGGTACTGAAACTAAAACTGAAATCTATGCTCTAGACAAGAAACTTTGAAGGATATATAACTTAAGACCTTCTGCACCGTAAGAAGTTTGTATACAACACAAGAGTAAGACAGAAATATTCTGTAACTTTTTCTACTCCGCTCTCACCCATAACACTTGACTATGTACTGTTCAAAATTACATACCATTTAGACAAGAGGAAAAAACTAGATAAAGATGTACATTTAACGATAGATAAGGATTGTAAAGTTAGTAATTTCAGTAAGCTAAAGTTTTTTCACTTCAAAAAAACGCAAGTTCTTTACTTACCTGTGTAGACTTGTTTGTTTCACTGCGCAGTATAACGTAGCAGGGCAAGTCACAAAACTAATGGAAGTTTAGCTTAAAAATAACTACTCTGTACTAAAATATACTTGACTCTCAAAGTTTTAAGGCATATATACTAATCGCCTCCTAAAGCTTACAAAAAAAAGTTAAAAAAAGCGAGTAAAAAAGTGATATAAGTTAATTATTTAATAGCCTGTGTAATTGACTCTGGTAATAGTAGTATTATTTGATAAGGTAGTAGATTCAATCAGCCCCAACATAGTTGCTTTCAATGTTCTCCACCTCTTTAATAATAGGAGTTACCAAACATATATTATCAATTTTAGTCTTAAACAATATATTAAAAATCTTTTTTAAGCTAGTTCTTTTAAATAACTACAAAAAACAAAGTGTTCGGCAGCTTGCCAGTTATGACTTCCGAAAACAACTGATAATATTCGATAATAAAAATCTAAATTACCTAGCGTTAATCGTAAGAGTCAAAATATGGAAAAAGAAATAAATTAAAAAAGTAGAGTCATATGAGACTTTATAGTAAAGTAAATAGAACAAGTTAACATGTATAAATTTAACACTTCTCCTAAAGCTCTTGTCAAGTTTAACTACACTTACCAACATAAAATTATTTAAAGTTACTGTAAGAGTAAAATGGGAGACAACCATGCTTTCCGCCTGGGCGAATATAGGTTTAAGTATTTTTGAAAGGTAACTATCAATGCATAGCTTTACGTGCAATCTAGAAGTAAATAAACAAGAACCAATTTATGTATTTTTTACTCATAAAATAGTTATATATTTAAAAAAGGATATAGCCTTTTTTAATAAGCAAAAAAAAGAAATTTAAAAAATATTGACTAACTGGTCTTTTCTCATATGAAGATAGGAAAAAAAGAAACGAACTAAAAAATGCAAAAATACAAATCGACGCAGCGCGGTCTACTAAAGTAAAATTTGGAGCATTTAGTCGAGTCAATTAATAACCGTAGTAACTTGCCTTACCACTTGCGATTTTAAGCGGATCAAGTTCTTAAAAATAAAGCATTGCAAAAAAAGCATGGAATGACAGATTACTCAGCAATTTAGAGGTTTATTTTTGGTAGCTTTTACTTATGTGCATACACTGAAAAACAAAAATTTAATTGGTCAGCAATATTTTGGAAACTCATGGTTAAGCCAAATTTGTTATTAATCTGGTTAATAAATACTAAATCACTAAAACCCACCAAATAAAATTAAAATAGAAAAATCACAGAAATAAGATACATTTTAGTTCAGTTGTGCAGAAATAAAAAGTATAAATATAATTCCTTTGGATTCGCTGGCCATAATTTTTGGGTTGTCACCCGCTCCTGTCCTCCTTCGTTTTCCCTTTTTTTGGGTTTGTCTTTTGATAGTGGCTTCATATCGGCTGTTTACTTAACTTTACGCGCCCTAGCACCTGCATTGCGTTCAGTGACGACATTTTAAATTATTTTACCTTTATTATTAATAAAATTAATTGTAATTAACTCTGACTTTTTTATTTGATCAAATAATTAAATTTTTGTTTTCATTTGGTAACTTTGACAGTTGCCGATTTTACAGATTTGTTAATTGTGATTACCTTTTAGTTTTTTTAGTTAACCAACTGACTAAATCATAGTTTAATTTTAAGGGGTTACGTGTTTCTAAAGTAAAGGCGCGAGTTTTATTCTAACCACTAAAGTTTTTTTGTATGCTCATATTGACTGTTTATTTTAAGCGTGGATCGGCTCCTTTGCTAGTGCTTACACCTCTTGCTTTGCAGCTGAGCTATTAATACTATTTTCCATATGCTTTTTGTGGTGATGTCAACTGATTTTGACAGGCACTGCGAAGTTGTAAAATCTCATAGGTACTTGAAAAGTCCTTTATATAGTATCATTTGGTGCTTATTGGATACCCTACAGAAATGGGGGTACTCCCAACTGTTCTCTCGGTTTAACGGAACCACTTGCGGGATATGACTCAAATAAGATTTCGGCTGTCCCCATTTTGAACAAAACAAGTGCCCTGGCCCTCCAGCCCATTAATGTACTCGCTCTTTCTGAAGTTGCCAGCAGCGTAGCTCGTGATGATTCGGCTTCACTGGAGAGCGAAGGCTTAGAGTTACCGCCTTCAGCGAAAGAGGTTAACATGGTTCGAAGTCCCGTTAATAAAATTCCCGGTACAGTTAACGGTAAAACGAGAGAACTTTCCACCCTTGGCAATATTAAAGAAAATTGTGAGGAGGAGATTTCTAAGAGCGTTGGAAATGCTCGCTCGGACAGTGATTTGGAAGAAAGTGCTAATAAACTTAATGGAGTTGCCGAAATTGAAATTTCTCGCGATTTGTACCCTAACATCGGTGATTCTGGGCTATGTGCTACCTCTATGACTGGCACTAAGCAGCTTACCTTTCATCGGACTAATCAACTTGATTTCTGTGAAAAAGGAATACTGAAGATTGTGTGGAAACACAAGGACGCTTGGCCTTTTTACAAACCCGTGGATCCTGTGGCGTTGAATATACCCGACTATTTCGATATAATTACTCAGCCCATGGATTTTGGAACAATCAGAAAAAAGCTGAAAGACAACGCATATGAAACAGCAGAGCATTGTTTAGAGGACTTTCGGCTTACCTTCGAAAATTGCAAGCGTTACAATCCTCCCAGTAGCGATATTGTGAGGATGTGCGAGAACGTTGAGTCACTTTTTTTACAACGCGCTTCCATGCTCCCGAAAGAAGTTTTTGTTCTGCATTCTACAACTGCTCCTGTTCGCCCTATAAAAAGGAAGAGTATCGTTAAAAACCGAAAGCTTTTAAATGGAGGGCCCGCGAGCCACACCACTGATGACCAGAGTGTTACTGCATCCTCTGATCATGCTACCGCTTGCTTAACCTCCCCGCCTCCTACTGGTTTTCCACAGCGAGAGCCCCTTAAGCGGGAGCGTTATAAGAAAACTCCCGTTAGATCTAAGAATGATATTAAGTATCTTGGCATCAACGACTCCATATGGACACCCGACCAACCGTTGTTTGAGAGGCCTAACACCCGAAAGAGAAGCGTACTATAACCTTTAAATGAGTTTACTTTATTTTCATCGTTGAACAATATATCCACTGTGTTCTTTTACTTTTTATTTTTGTCTTAAGTTTTTATGCGATAATATAATTTTAATAAAGGTTGGTTTAAGCGAGCATCGACTGTCGGTCACTGAAAATTTAAAGAAGGTGGTTGAGGTATTTCCTTTTTTGAATGTCCTAGGTCATGTAGGGTTAACCTCTTATAGGGTAAGGCCGACCCATGTAAGCATTTGGCGGCGTTGCCCAAGTTAAATATTAGTAAAGGCAAACTTTCTACTCGACTTCAGTTTTGCAAGAAGTTGTTACAGAAACTTTTTTCGAGAAAATACCGGGACTTTGCATGGCCTTTCTATACTGCCGTTGACGCGGAAAGTTTGCAACTACCCGATTATCACACTGTGATTAAGAAGCCCATGGACCTCTCTCTCATCAAATCTAAGTTGGAGAACAAGCAGTACTCCACACCTCGTGAGTTTGAGAGCGACATGAACCTCGTCTTTCGAAATTGTCGCCGTTATAATCCGCCGGACTCTGAAATTTACCAAATGTGCCGAAAGTTACAGGTTAACATTTAGAGTGTTTTACTCATAATAGACGGTTGTAATAATATTTACCTATACAGGATGTTTTTGAGGAGGGCTACGCGCTTCTACCTGATGAGAGTGACGTGGAGAGCGGTACTTCCCTGGACTCCCATTCTAAGCCCGACGGGAAGTCCAGCGGAAAACTAAATGGCCATAGCTCATCTATAAATAACACTCAGAATATTGATATTATTGGCCAGAGAGATGTAGCTGAAAAACTTGAGAAACTTCAAGAGGTTGTACTATCCCTCCAGAAGCAAGTTACAGGGGCTACCATTGCAAGTCCTGAAGGCGTAAAGAAGCGTCTTTTTACTAAAACAAGGAGGTCCATGGGCAAGTCATTCTCTGGTGGAAGGTGGAGCGGCAAAACTTCTGGACAGAGGCCTGATCCCGTTAAGCATAAACAAGTGTCTCAGTTCAAGAAAAAAGAATCTGTAAAACCTTCTAAAAAGAGGCTGAAGAACTCTCCTCTTGATGAGGTTATTAATAAAAAGCATAAAAAAGAAGCCACGTTACCCATGACTCTTAGCGAGCAGCGTGAGTTGGGCAATAATATACGTTCTCTAACAAGAGAAGAGATTAAACCCCTTTTAAAGATAATAAGAGATCAGATCCCTCGTCTTACTGGCGGCGAAGAAAGTAAGCGAGAGGAAGTCCAAATTGATATTGCATCTTTGGACGCAGCCACTCTTCGCCGTCTGGACGGATATGTGAAATCCGTAATTGCCAGCAAGTCTAAATCGCAGCTCGGTTCTGTTTACTCGAAAGCTGAAGCTCAACGTCTGCGTAGAGGAGACAGTAGTGATAGCAGCGGCCTTTCTACAAGCGACAGCGGATTATCCGATTCCTCAACTTCAGATATCTTCTCTGACTCGGATGATGACTTCACGACAAAAAGTTACTATTTATACAGCTTATAGCGTTTTATTAATAGTTGTTTTTTGGTGGGGGCTGCTCTTGCGTAGAATTTTTCTGTATTTTTTTTTAATAACTTAATGCTCTGTTTAGGCAATGAAGACTTAGTAGAGCAAAAAAAGGAGCCTGAGGAGCCCTTTATGTCCGGTTTAGCAAATGGGGTTGGTGCCAAAACTAAACTAGTTTCTGGTGAGCAGCCCGCAAAACTCATTAACAAACTCTCCGAGACCCCCCTGTTGTCTCCGTGTACCGTCCTGTCTCCCACTAACAAAGGTGAACTAGCTGGTTTTCAATTACCGGCCCCCACCACAGACCTCTCCAAGGTTGAGCGCCGTTTTTGCTGCTCGTTGTTAAAATCCCTATAGTTGGTTTACTTGGAGAATAGAAGGTGGTTAAACTTAGTAATGCAAGCGCGTGGGGAAGTCTTGCCAACGTGGACGTTTCGGGGAGACCTTCCTGTAACTCTAACGGCAGGTCGGAGGGCCCTAGACCTGTTATGGATGATCTATTTGCAGAATACAAGAGCAAAGCCATTGAAAGCTTCCAAAAAGTATTCCTTATGATATCTTAAAAGTTGGAATGTCTGTTTATACCGGTATTTTATTGGTGGCCTCGTCACTAAGGCGGAAGATATAAAAAGGCGTGAGCGGTTAGAGGTTGAGGAGCGTTTAAAAGCGCAAGTACAGCAAAAACTTGAAGAAGAGAAAAGAGAAAAGTATAATTGTTGCCTTGTAAAACGCTATTGTTGTTCGAGAATGAGTTGGTTTTTTTCATAGGCACATTAAACTAGAAAAGTTACGGGAAGAAGAGGAGCTCCGTATCAAAACTGAGAAAGAGAGATCCGAGCGTGAAGCTGCTAAGCAGCGTCGAAGAGAGGAAGAGCGCAAGCGTCGTCAGGATGAACTTTCAACCCTTGAACAAGACGATCTTCATAAAGCATTTGATTTGGAGACGGCTTTTGATTGAGTAATCCTGTAGCTGTATAGGCGACACAGTTTAGTAGTAGCGCCCCCCATTGTATGGAATGGCTGCCTTACTGTTGTTTGCGCCGTTGAAGGAGCTGTAGTTACTTCTGCTTGTGTATAAATTAAGTAGTTTTTCATATAGTTAGAGAATAAACTTGTACATATGTTTGGAATACTGAATTTTTATATTGGTAATTCGTATTGCAGACAAAATCGACTAGCTTTTTAGCTTAATTTAATTTCTTTGGTTGACTTTACAGAAGCTTTGGTTTTTTTTAACTTTATTTATAAAAATTTTTAAAAGCAAGAGGCGTGTAGAATAATGTATGTAGAAATACCTTTTTAAGAATAGTTACTCATGGTTTATGTCGTTTCTCTACTCACGGGAGTGCCGTAGTTCTGTTAGCTTATTTAGAACAGTATTTCTGATTTTCCTCAGTCCTGTAAATTTTTTAATATTACGGAATTTATAGTAAACAAGCAGTTGTTTCCGCTCATAAGGCTGCTATGTGGGCAGAAGGGCTGAATAGCGTTAACATAGGCTGCTACAAGTGGTCGACTGTTAAAAATATAATAATTTCCTTTTTAAGTTAACCTATTAAATTTTTATGTGGATATTCCGAAAAGTTTTTTGCTAGATGTAATTTCTCGGCACCACGTGTAAATGTTAGTGTGGGGAATGTAAGCAAATTTTCTTACGGTGTTAACTTGACAGGTGGTTAAAAAAATTTAAATTCATTATTTAGAGACCTAGCTTTTTGTTTTGGTCAAAATAAAACTTTGTAACTTTTTCTTGTGGAAAGCTTAATTTTTTAAGGTCATTAATACGTTTAAGTCGCTTTTGAAAGTATCTGAATTTAAAAAGTCGGAGAAAAACCAAATTCAACTAGGTTTAATTATTCATTCGCTTGCTCAATGCACAGCTAGCAATAATTTTTAGTGTCGGGGAGTTTATAAAAAGTTACTTTATACCTAATTTTTAAAATTTTGTAAGCGGTATTATAATAAGAAATGTTGTTTCTGATGGTAACTTTGTAGCCTTAAACAAATTTTGTTTAATAAATCAACGCAAGCGGTTTTGTGAACCTTTAAAAATGGCTTTCAAAAAGGTGCTACGCGTCGAGAGGCAAAAACTAAGGCAGCGGTTACTAGTTTATAAGTAGAAAAAGTTATATTAATACCGTAAATTTAACAACAAACCAAATATATCGTTTTTAAGTTTTACTCTAAATCTTAACATCGTGGTGCTATGCACAAAATAGTCGGAGGTGTATAAAACAGTTATGTTTAAGGATTATATATAAAACTACTGTCATTTGCTAAGAATGGCTTAATTTACGCTCATAAACCTAACTAAAATCGTATACAGCTTTTTATTGTCTCTTTTTCGCTGCAATTCTGTGCAATCTGCGTCTATATGAGTTCTCGACGAGTAAAAGTTTATTAAATTATATATTTCAAGGTAACAAATTGTAACAACAGCAAGGGACATATAAATCTTCTAGGTTTTATTTTTTAATATAAATATTTTTTATATTGTCCTATATTTTGGTATAATACTAGTTCGATAAATTTTCACAAGTACAGTTCAAGTGAGCTTGCGAGTAATATATTTGTGTTTAATGCAAGTACTGGCCAATAATAGATGAAACCCCTTATTTAACGGTCTTAATGGTAGATAGCGTACAGCTGAAATTTTTTTGATCCCAAAAAAAAGCTCTAAAGTACTCCAGTATATTACCTAACACTAGTGGAACGCCATTTTTTATAGGGGCACGAACAAAAAAAAAAGTAGTACGTTTAATATTTAAGGCTTCTCTTTTTTAGACTTAATCAGTGCAAAACCAATACCGAATAAATAGAGCAATAACCACTTCTTGTACAACGCAAAATGTAAATGTAATGTTACTACCCTAATCGCTTTTTAGATATTACAAACATGTGTTCAATTTAAACCCAAACAGTTCTTTCAGTGAAAATCATAAGCAAGTTTTGCTAAGGCACTTTTAAATCATCATACACTGTTTATCATTATTAGTATAATTAGCAATAAAGCATTTAAATTTGGAAGGCGCTGCATCCGACATTCAGCATTATTGTAATATATTAAAAATATAATTTACATTATAGATTTATGGAAGTGGTCAAGCAGAGTACATATTAAATTTCCTAATTGAAGTATTTTTATCAATGCTATTGATATATAAGGCTTGTATTTGCGTAACAACAATTACCTATGCACAAGAGGCCTGCTAAAAAAATACAAAAAATGTCGTTACCATTTAGTCCTATAACTATGTTTTAATAGCACAAGAAAAGTGTTACAAGTGCTATACATTTAGTACCAACGGCGTTTATCTACGAAAGCTAAAAAAAATGCTCACAAAGAGCAACATGGTAGTATAATTAAATTAAAAAGTTTACATAACTAAAGTTACAACTTTAAAACTTACTAGTACCTGCTGATGATTTAAGAGTTATAAATTAAATAATTAGTGGTGGATAAAAGTACCACTTTGCACCTAGAGCTTATTTATAGACAATAAAATGTAAAACTTTCAAAAATTCGGTAGTAAACCAGTTTTCTACGACACTAATATATCAATTGTTGATAAAAGCAGGGCAATGAAGTGAAAATCCCGCCACTAAAATTTAAATTCTTTTTTCTTGGTAATAAATATTTTCCCAGCAAAGCAACTCAGATTATAATACGAAGTGCGTCGACGTTATCTATAAAAAAGTTATAGATGAGCATGAGAGACCGTTTGCGAACAAAAATTTAGACGAAGAACAGGGGCAAAGATTAAGCACAAGGTAAGTATTTATATGATTGCTGTTCCGATTTTATAAACGGTTATAAACATTGGTTGTTTTTAATTAAATTCAAAATTTTACTAAACCTCACAGTACTTTTTTACAAATAATGTTGCATGAAAGTTATAACCTTAAAAGCATAAAGCGCCCTACAACTTTTTTCGTAAAAATTAAAATAAAATATACTTTAAACTATCTTTACACACACTACAAAAGCGCTTTAAAAAAATAAAACGAAACATACCTAACTACTAAGTTTACTACCTCCTAGTTTTTTTAAAACTTTATTCGTGCACGTGCAAGTGCTGATGATAGGAATAACCATTTCTCCTCTATTTTGTTAGCATATCTGCTACTCTTTTTTCTAGTGGTTCATAAAATAGTTACCTGTCAGGTCATAGTTGAATATTATAATTATTTTGCTATGTTATATAGTTACTTTTTTAAAGCTCTTAGAATAAAATGGTTTCTTGCGTTGAACAAGAAACTCCCTTACCTTCGAGAAGTCCTTACCAAGTCAATAATCCCGAAGGTTTCTCACTATATTAATTTAACTTTTTATATTGATTTTTAAAATTTAACGTAGAAAGTTTTACCACAAATTCACAAATTACAACTGTGGATAAAGGTTTTTTTTACCTTTTATTTCTCTTTAATATCTATAATTTTTTTTAAAAAAAGAGTCCGACTTCGTCGTTTTTGGCCAAGATCACGGAGACTGTAAAGCTGAAAGCAATGAAGGTATTTATTTTTATTATTTTGCCTTCAGTATAACAGAGTTTACTATAGAATACAACTCTTATCTTTTTAATTCACTGTTGCTATAATTTTCTTGTATAAAGTCTTTTTTTATTAGATTTTTTTTGTATAATTTAATTTTTTTATCTTTACCTATTATATATTAGCTAATTTTTAATTATTACTTAAGCTTTGGAACCCGCCGATGAGTTTATTCCTTTAGGTACTTCAGAACTTGGTAACTTAACTGTTTTCACAGCTTCTCTTTTATAAAAATATATTTTACTGCAATAAGAGAACGGAGACTCTACTAGTTATTCCGCTAATTACGAAAGAAATCAGCGAGTTTGTTTTCGTTGTGGTGAGCCTGATCACGTGAAGAAGGACTGCAAAGCGAGTATAGCCTTTGTTCCTTTAAATTTATAGAAATTTTATTTTTTAATTTTTTTTAATGCTTTTATTTTTTCTACACTGCAGGCTTTACCGAAGCAGCTCGGTTTAAGAGAAAATCTGAAGAGCAACTACGGACTGCCCATCGGGAGCTCAGCCTCGTGTATAAGGGGAGGGTCCCTTGGCTTCAGTATCGCCGCTTGCTTCAGGGAAATGACATAGGGGCTGTCGCCTACGAGTCCTCCGTAGTTGGTCTCCATGAAGAGGTTTGTCTGTAAAAGATTTAGAGAGATTTTTTGATATTAACTGGAATTTATAGTTGCTTAGATTTTATAAAGGATTTTGAGAGTTTTTTAATAATTAAAATTTATTTTTTATATGCTTAGATTTTAGATTTTATGGAGTACATGTCTCCTCTCGAAGAAGAGAGAGCGCTACGCCAGGATTTAATAGACCGCATCACTGTCATTATTAATAGCGTATGGCCTAAAGCTATTGTACGTTCTACTTAAGCCACCTCCCGTTATGTTATTACTATTTTTTCTTTTCAGGTGAAAGTTTTTGGATCGTTTCCTTGCGGGTTGTACACACCGTCGTCGGACATCGACCTCGTGGTTCTCGGCCAATGGCCAAAGAGCCCACTCTTCTCGCTGGCGCAACTTTTGGGTTGTTATTATTAAAGCTGTGGAATTCTATATAAGCAACTTTTGCTAGAGCAACACATGGAGCTGAGCAAAGTGCAGGTCATTCCCAAAGCACGTGTCCCTATTGTCAAAATCACTGATGCGCTCACAAAAGGTAAATTTTTTTGGGTGCTCTTCTCTTTGCCGCGAGTATTTTGTATTCTTTTTTTTTTCCTTCAGTGGAGGTTGACATCTCGTTTAATATGGACAGCGGGCCATCCACCGCCGCTCTGATCCAGAAGCACGTCGCTGATTTCCCCGTGTTGCTGCCGCTGACGTTCGTCGTCAAGCACTTTTTGGTGCAACGCAGTCTTAACGAAGTCTACACGGGCGGTGCGGCTCTCCACTTTAGTAATTAGCGTCTTTCGGATGCCTCATGTCTCAATTCTGCAGGCTTGAATTCGTACGGGATCATCTCGATGATCATTTCCTTCCTTCAAGTATTTTATAGGAGTTTGTTTGGAAATTTACTTTTAAACTTTTTTATGTTTAGCTTCATCCGAGAATCGACACGCCAAAGTCACTGGACGACGTCAACTTGGGAGTCCTGCTGATCGAATTTTTCGAGTTGTACGGCAAGAACTTTAATTATGAAGTGGTTGGCATTTCTTTGCTAAATGGCGGCTCCTATTTCAATAAAGTAAGGCCCATTGCAAGCCCATTGTAGCTCTTCTTCGACTGAATATATTATTCTTTCGTAGTGGGTTGCGTCGTGGGATAAATCTCCCTTTTCCATTCGCGATCCTCTCGATGAGGCCAACGATGTCACGTGCCGAAGCAGCAACATGAAGCGCATCAGAATTGCATTTGCTCATGCTTATGCCGTTTTAGTATCTAAACTTTTGAACCGCGGCCTCCATCCGAGCCTGACCACGTTGTCCTCCATCGTGAATATCCATCCCGAAGCTATACTAGCGCGACGCAATGCTTTATACAACTGGCTTCAGCGTGGAAAAACTTTGTCGAGGCCTGAAGATATCGAGCAACTCCGGTTGCCTGTACGCCTCCTCCTGCAGACTTCCATCCCTGCGGAGGACGGCCATTTGCCAGCGCCGGATGAAGTTAAAGCCGGCGGGAGTGACACTGAAGAGGTTGACGAGCTTACTATTGCTGGTAACGAATACACCGAGAGTGGCACTCTCAGCGAAGACAGCGATGAAAATATCGACGACGACGGGTATACAGATATCAATTATCAAGAAGTGGATGGTAGTGGCAATGCTGCAGCCCAGAACTCTCCTTGACTTGAAGTTGTTCCCCTCTGAAAAAATAAATCGATAAGTACAATGTGACTCTTTGGCCGGGCGAAATTTTAAACCTTTTGCCGGAAATTATGAAGATAATGTATAATAAGCTTGGGCAACTTTTGCTTAGGTAAGTGGGAAGAACAGTATAACGTATCTGCTTATAGATATCTGAGATTTTTCTGAAATACTTTATAATAAAAATTTGAGATTTTCGTATAAAATTATATTATTTGCGTTTCACGTATCGCGCCCCTGCTCTATTTTTTCTACGTTTCACTAAGTGTAATGCTCTTAACTTTTAGGCATTAAAATCGGTACTTTATTTCATTTTTCGCCTAAACGCTTGCTGTTTTATAATTCCTCGGTGGTATCTACACGAAGAATTGTAGGAGAAAAGCGCAAACTCTACAGTTTGCTTGCAACTGAGCGAAGGTGTCACAGCTTTCTAAACACACGGAATTGGGTTCTTACGCGGCCTCGTTACTAACTAAGAAGCTTACTGTGGCAAATTTTGGTTATGGTATAGGTTATTTAAAATTAGGTTCATAAAGAAATCCGGGCTAGTTGTTTAGTCGTTGAGAATTTTTTATAACTAGTTAGTTGGGAGCCCTTTCCGTCTTTTTTTTTTTTTTTTAACATCCACCTTCAACAAATAGGACGCAAAGCTTAGAACTTCTATCTTTATCCAAACTGTGGATCGTAAAACAAAGTATAGTTGCCAGAGTCTAACGCTTCCAATTTATTCTATTTTTTTAATCTCTAAGTGCACTTGTAAAATTTTTATCATTAAAACAAAGCCACCACAAGCAAAACTTCCGAAGATACGCGCTTTGCTACGTCTAATATTACTTTTTCTACATATTTTGTTCCTTTTTCTTTCAAGCGCCAAAAAGACGCTTCGCTTGTAAACAACACATTAACTCCTTGGCGCATGAAGTTTATAAAGGCGAATTACTTAAACAAATCGTCGGAGTCATATTTGTTAAATATGTGAAGTACGTGTTAATTCACAAATTATTAATAAAAACTTGCTAGAGAATTTGTCCAATATAAATCGGAATAAATATGTTCTGAGCATAGTGCCCGCTAAAACGGTCATTAAAAATAAATTGTTAAAACGATAATGGTTTACGACTTAAGTTATCGCAATAACTACTCCGCTAATTTAAAGCCTATTTTTTAGATTTTAAATAAATCGAGTATTACCCAAAAAAACGCTACCTCAACCCATTACTCTCGTACATTGACGAGTTTATAAATAGAAGTAATTTTTGATACGAACAAATTTGAAGTTCAAAAAAGGCTTTGTATATATTCAAAATTATATACTTATAGAAGGCCTGCATTATGCATTCGCATTGAACCAACTGTAAATGGGGGACTGCTTAAACAAGACGTTTAATTCACTATTCCTGGTGCTAGATAGAGTTTATAACCAATTTTTTTTAAAGAATGGAGAAAATATAAAATTAATAAAATGTTTAAAAATGCTTAAATAATTATTAAAAAAAAAGGGGAAAAGGTACATAGAAAACAAAACTAACTAGCAATCCAGGATTACCAATTAGCTCGTTTTACTATAGTAGAAACGAAAAATGATTCCTACTAATACAAGTTTAGTTTTAGCTTAAAACTATGCGCCCTTTTGCGCCCTTCACATTTAGTTTAAAGTCTTTTTCAACTATCACAGTACAAGTCCAATCCGTGCCAAACAAGCAAGAAGTTAGACCAGAGAGTGCGTTACGCGGAAGGCTCTATTGTACACTTTCTTATGGCTAATGTGTGGTTTTGGGTTAGAAAAAGAGTAGCGTGTTCAATTATTCATTTGTAAAGGTAGAGAGTATTATTTATGAAGCTAGGGTCAGCGGCTCAACCTATAGTTCGGATGTATCATTGCGCACAAGCCACAGCGCGTGTAGAAGACTTAACGTGTTTTCTGTCGCACTTGTGCAAGAATTGCTGTTGTCGATGAATGATAGGCCCAGCCATTATCGATCGATTGCAATCCGCCCGTAAACCACGTGCGGATGCACTACCCCAGGATCTATAATTACTTTGGGTTCCTCAACTGGGAATATTACGGAATGTAGATGCCGTCTAAGGTTAATAGAGTCAGCAGTAGGGTACTATTCTTTGTTATAAAAAAGGGTGCCTTTCTACTTATTGCGTTAGTTAAGAAGCTTCCATGACTATACCAGCTAGCAAGCTCGTTGAGATTATACTATAGAAGTCGACATAACGGCGATCCGCGTATGTAGGCTGACCAGCTATAGAGCGTTAATAGCAGCGTTGGGCATAACATTACAGAAACTCCCCTGAGAATTGGAGAGGCGGCGCCAGTGTAGCTTTCACTTAGTGCTGTAGGCTCATCATTTGGATACGACTTGAGCACATCGCGAAGGTCGCCAATCGTTACCAGGGTTTGAGAAGTAGGCCTGCATTGTCCCAAAAACAGCACCAGTGGGTTATTTTAATTTTTTTAAAGGCTCGGGCGGCCCACTCGGCCAGACGTCGCAGTAATTAGATGGTTGAAGTCCCCTATGGAAATCCAACTAAAATTTAAGTAATATTTCAAGGATCTCACGAAGGCAACTGTCTTTAAACGTTCATAAAACTGTTTCAGACACCTTAATTTTTGCATGACAAAAGGTTGACGGGGCGGTCAGTACTTACAAGACTTGGAAGCCATCTGGGAAGTCCTTAGGAACATCACGGCTACCATCATTTTTCATCGCCCAAAATGTTATTGAGTTGAAGAGATAGCAAGTATAACCCTAGCTGATCCCCAACACTTGTTTTAAACATTAATTTTTAATTAACCGAGAGAGTACATGAAATCAAAAATGTGGTAAACAGGAAGTGACTATATAATAAGGGTTATATAAATATGTCATAGATTCGAATGATTAATTTATTTTGCTTTACTAATCGCTTTAAGCCTTAACAGTTAATTCTTTCCCACTTTAAATTGACAGTATAAAAAACTACATAAATTCTGCGAGGGTAAAAATTAAACATTGGAGTTCATATGTTCATTTTAATTCTCGTGACTGCTTTTAGCTACAGTGACCACGCCATAGGGATGATTGACTTATTTTAAAACATCAAGTAGGTTTAAGAGTTATAAAATTACTATGTGTATACTAGCACATCATTATACCATAATTATTGATAAGTAAAATTTTATTTAGTTTAATATTTTTATTTGCTCGGCCTGTAAAGTTTCTAAACTTTCACTTGCTTGTTGATAATAAAATTTTGTCCATGTGCTTTTTTGCCTGGCAAGCTTATCTAGGATCGAAAAAGTGTATGCCCGTCACAGTGACTTTTTCAAACTATGTGGTTATACATTATCGCCGTTTGTGCTGGAGTTACTTGTTCTTATTGCCTTTTAAGCATTTGGAAAAAGAAATTATTTTCAGGAGATAATAATTCAAATAAATTAAAAATATGTTTTGTTCATCCGGATTTAGGCATCGGCGGTGCAGAAAGATTAGTTATTGATGCCTCCATTGCTTGCAAGAAACTTGGGCTTCACGTTACTATTTATACGTCTCACCACGATAAAGACCACTGCTTTCAGGAAACTAAAGATGGTTTATCTCATTTTCACTCATAAAGTTTACGTTCATTCGATTTTTTGGCTCCCTCTATGATCGTTGTAAAGGCTCTTTAGAAGTTTTTGTCTACGGTGACTGGATCCCGAGGCAATTTTGTCGGAAGTTTCATGCTCTTTTTGCATACATACGATTTTGTTATTTATCCACTCTTCTTCTTTTTAAAGAAAGTTATGACTATTATTTTTGTGATCAAATTTCGGCATCACTTCCTATTTTAAAACTTACTAACAAAAAAGTATTTATTCAAATTTTTATAAAAATTATTTATATTATCAATAGTAGCTAACTTTGTCTTTATGCTATTCATTATTTTTAGTTTTTCTAGATTATCTTTTACTGTCACTTTCCTGATCAACTGCTAACTCAACGTCGGACCTTATTTAAAAGATTATACCGTTTTCTGATTGATCGGTTAGAAGAGTACACTATGGGATATGCCAGTACGCTCCTTGTGAACAGCAACTTTACTAAAAGTGTTTTTAAGAAAACTTTTCCAACTTTAACCCATTTGGAACCAAAAGTTTTGTACCCTTCTATTAATCTAGAAATTTTTAAAAATGTTAAAGAACAAAGTTTAGAATTTATACCAGATTCGTAAGTTTTTTGAAAATTATTTTATCTTGTAAATAATTTTACTTAAAAATTTAGGGCTCGGACTGTTTTTTTATCGCTAAATAGATATGAAAGGAAAAAGAAAGTGGAGTTAGCTATCAAGATTTTAGTAGAATTAAAAGAGAAGCTTGAGCCTGTTAATTGGAAAGGCGTACATCTTATAATTGCTGGTGTTTTACTATATTTATTCGGAAATTTTAATTTTTTGTAAATAAGCAATATCTTATTAGGCGGGTACGATAAAAGAATAATTGAAAATGTGGAGTATTTTGAAGAACTGGTCTTGTTAGCCGAAAGAAATTCTGTGGGGGGCCATATTACTTTTTTGAGATCTGTGAGCCATTCTACAAAGTTTGCTTTATTTAAAAGGTTTATACAACAATTTTTTAAGTTAATTAATTAATTAATTATTTTATTTTAAGTTGCGACTGTCTATTGTACACTCCGGATGAAGAGCATTTTGGTATCGGCCCGCTTGAAGTTAATTTTAAACTGTTTTCTTTATTCTGAAATTTTGCTTTCGCATCTCGTTAAAAATAAATTAGATTACATGAACAACAATAATTTTTAGCCAGTGCTGGATTTATTACTTTTTTGTTAAAAAAGCTGCTTACTCAGAATATTTATTTAATATGTTAACACAGAATATGTAATACTGAAAAGGAAATTAAAATATAATTGAATTTATATGTAATTATTATTTATATTTTAGTAATCTTTTTATAAAGCTAATAGAAAACACTCAAAACAAATTTGTAAAGCATATTAGTTTATCAATACTATTATACTGCATAAAACTTTTTTTTATTTTTGCGCAGGCGATGTTAATGAAAAAGATGGTTATAGCAAAAAACAGTGGTGGCCCTGTAGAAACAGTAGAGAACGGTGTTACTGGATTTTTATGTGGCGATGATGCTTCCAGCTGGTCAGAAGTCATCATGGAAAACAGTAATTTTTTATTTCTTAGTTTTCTTTATTATTTTTTTTAATTAATAATTTTTATTTATTATCGTCCTGCTTAGTTTTTAACAAAAACAGAAGTTCTGAAATGGGAGAAGCTGGCTATCAAAGATTTCAACACCTTTTTTCTTTCAATCGTTTTACAGAAGAATTAAAAACTATTTTGCTGTAGTTTCGTTATTTACTGAAAATACAATAAAGTCAGCGGTATATTCTTTTATTTTTTATAATAAAGGCTTACTTTTGTATTTTAGTCTATTTTTTGTTTTTATAATATGTTTATTGCTGTTAAAAGTGCGTTATATAACCTAATCGTTCTTTGTTTTAAAGATAATTTTTATAAAAAAGTCAGTTAAAAAGTTTTGAATATATTTACTCTTTTCTACCCGGTTGGGTCGATAAGAGTGTCAAAAATATCTATTAGCGAAGCTTGGCGTTATTTAGGAGAAATTTTTTCCGATTATTTCACAGTGAAAGCCGATCCCTTCAAGTTTTTCTTGGTTTAAAATTTTTCTCCCATCAAAAATATATGCAGGCTTGAGCATTTTGTCGTAAATCTTTTGATAATCATACAAAAGAAATTCGTCCCACTCCGTGCAGAGCACGATGGCGTGGGACCCCTCGACCGCTTCGTATGGGCCCTGGCATACATGAACCAGGCCCTGCGACTCTTCATAGCTTTCCTGCGAGACAGCCGAGTCGACAAGGTCAGCTGTGACCTGCTGGCGGGTGACTTTGGGGTCGTAGATGTGGAGCTGCGCGCCTTCCTCAAGGAGGTACCGGCAAATGTCGATGGAGGGCGACTCCCGAGTATCTCCAGTGTCCTTCTTGAACGCGAATCCGTATATAGCAATTTTCTTGCCAGTCACTGTGTTGAACAGCTTACGAATCACGTGTTGCACAAAGCGTCGCTTTTGGTAGTTGTTAACATCGATGACGGCCTGCCAGTAGCTAGCTACTTCTGTCAGGTTATACGACTCGCACAGATACACGAGGTTTAGGATGTCCTTTTGGAAGCAGGAACCCCCGAAGCCCACAGAAGCTTTAAGAAATTTTGGGCCTATCCTGCTATCGGTGCCTATCGCTTTGGCGACTTCGTCTACGTCTGCTCCCGTCGCCTCGCATAGAGCGCTGATAGAGTTGATGCTGGATATTCTTTGCGCTAGGAATGCATTAGCTAAAAAAGGTTGATATAAAAATCAAAGGGCGCTCCTGTAAGGCAGGGTATGACATTCACCAGTTAGCTTGGACAGCTCGGAGGACCAGAGATTGGTGGTTAAAATTTTCTCTTCGGGTATCCACCGTCTGTAGAGACCTTGATATAAATAGGTTGTATTTAGTAGGGGGACTCATTTTAGGCGTAAGATTTATTTTTCTGGGCGGAAAACAGAGTCATTCCGATTTTTATTAACGTATAATATTTTTTCTTTTAGCAATTAATAATATCAATATGAAAATTGGTTAAACGTACATTTAGAATTTTTTAAAATAATTTTCAAGTTACGTAGCTCAGTATTTAGGATACGTTACACCCTAAATCGGTTGAATTACTACGAACACCGCCAAACTAATTACTTAAATGACTTGCCTTTTTTTCAAAAATAACTTAGAAAGACTTTAACTAAAAAGCCTCAGTGGCTTAGACAGTGACTTAAACTTGACTATATAAATATTAAACTGAGTAACATTTTTTAAATTACCGTAGAAATTACTTTTATGAAAACAGATAAATTAGCCCATGCTTTAAGTTGGTTGTCGTGGTAAAGCTCTAGTAGATTTTAGCCTCTTAAAGATTTGGTAACTCTGCTTTGTTACTTTTAAATATCTATAAAGAACTTTGACCGCCTCAGGTGTAAAATTTTAAAAGCTAAATTATGTATATAAGACTTACTTGCTAAAGTGGCCATAGCAGCTCTCCCGTCTTCAGTTTCTTCACCTCCTATTAGGATTCTGTCTGGGTTTAGAAGATCCATAATGGCAGTTCCTTTTGTTATAAACACCCGATGTGATTTTTGTGAAATATTAACTTTATGTTAAATTTAAACTTTTCAAAGGTAATCGAACTAAATTTCTCACCTTCAGCCAAAAATTCTGGGTTAGATAATATTTGAAACGAAGTATTTTTTTTACAGTTTGAAAGCAAAATTTTTTTTAAAGATTCCGCAGATTTGACGGGAACTGTCGATTTCTCTACTATAATTTTGTGACCTGTGGTGACCTCTGCTATTCTGCGAGCTGCACTTTCTATAAATCTATGTTTGGGTTTATAGGAGTTATTATACGGGGGAAACAAAAATACAATTTAACACTTTAAGTCAGCGGCGCGGCCTTTACCCATCCCAAAAGTTTTAGTAGGTGTATTGACAGAAACGAAGATCAACTCCGCTTTATTTATTGAGTCGTCTATATCAGTGCTGAAAAATAGATTTTTGCCTCTACATTTCTTTACAACATCGTCCAAGCCCGGCTCATATATAGGTAATTTTTCAGAATTCCAAGCGTCGATACGCGCTCGATTTAAGTCCACAATTGTAACTTTAACATCAGGGCATTTTAAAGCTAAAACTGAACAAGTCGGCCCACCAACATATCCAGCTCCAATGCAACAAACATTTTTGACATTGTTGAGGGTCATTCTCTTTAAAGATTATCGCTAGAAAAAGTAGTTAGAGTTATTCAACCTTCTAACTAAAGTAAAATGATTAGGTTAATACAAATAAATAACAGAAAGGCCTCAACCTTACACGTAATATATACCTGAAAAAGGTACATATCATACCAGCCGAGATCTAAATACCCCAAATAATTGTCATTAACTTATTACCATATTAGTATATTTATAAGCCTAGCCTACTTTATAGGCGTTTTATCTGTAAAGCCTAAAATAGTCGCTATGACCGCGTGCTTTAATTGCATAATTGATAATTTAAGTAACTTTACAGCTTGACTCGCTACCTAAAAAGTTTTGTTTATGGACTTGTTTGGAAAGAAGGGCTGAAAGAAGAGAAGATCTTTCTTACTGCAAAAGTAGGCCTGTCTTAGAGGATTCCACCTTTTATGCAAAGCAGTCTGCGATGGTACTCTTCAGCGATTTGACTGATTCCCAACCATTCTTTTAAATTGTAAGTACTTAAAATTTTTTGTAAAAGATGGACAGCCATTGGTTAAAGGGACTTCTAACCTTTTCTTTAATATATCTAAAATAATGTTAAAACCTGTTTTAATTATTATTATAAAAAATGGCGTAACATGAGTTTTGTTTGCTTTTAGCGGTATATTAAAATTTTGCGCATAGCCATCTAAGTTAATTGCCCAAATTTAGTTATAATAGCAAAAAAAATTAAGTGGAAAGGAAGATTTAAAAAAAGGAAACGCTTATTTAAAACCTTATTCTTTTTATAATAAGTGCACGTAACTTAAAAATAGAATAAATTAGTTTATTTAAACAAAGTAAAAAACTCATAGTAAGTAAAAATATAAATAATGCTATAATGTAAATTACAATATTTAAAAACTGCTTTGCGTCCTTTAAAAACCCTATTCCCTTTTTAGACACAAGCAGCAACCGAGGTGATGTGACGAGAGTCGGTTAAGTACACAGAACCTTTAAAAAGTTAAAGCCAATTCACATCTTTTTAGTAACATGATAAAAAAAAACGCTTTATTTGTTAAAAGTTTTGGTTATATGTAAAACTCTTAATTTTAAATATAGTTTTTACATAAAAAACCATACTGCGTTCTGATGAGAGCTCGAATTTTATCTATTACTATAAGACCACCAAAATATTGCTTTTATATTATTCATAGGGGAGCAGGCACAGAAATCTATTTTCATTTTTTATACAAACTTTTTCGAGCTAAGAGCTTCAAATAGCGCAGTCTTGTGAGGAAAGTTTACACGTGCAAAAGTACCTGCAGTAACTCAAACGCTGAAACGTCTGCCTTACCTCTACACTCTTCATATTATTAAAGATTAATAAATTTCCTCCACGAGGGAACTTAAATGTTTTTTTGCATGTTGCATTAAAGTAATTAGAATTTCAAGAGCTAATATTGTATCGGAATAGACACCAATTCAAATTTTCTGAAGCGAATTTCCATAACTTTTTAAGGTTCGTTATAGCGCTCTATCTTGAGTATATAGGACATGTTCACTTATAAAAAGTAGTCGTTTTCATGTTTTTTTGACTGCGCTTTCGTAGTGGTTGCACTCGTAGATCTGTACTTTATTAAAACCTATGTTTAGTTATTTTTAGAAAGCTTAATGGTCTCAATACCATAATGATTATAATAACACATTACTTCGCTTATAGAAGTAATGCATCATTAAAACTTTGAAGAAGTTGTCAAGCGTTTCTTAAGAAAGAGTGTTTATTTAGAAAAGTCCAACCCAAACTTTTATAATATGAAAAGTGTCACTATGGAAATAGCACGGCCTTAGCAATACTTTTTATTAAATTATAAGGGAAGTTCGAATTCAACTTTGACGTTTATATCTTTCGCCTTTTGAGCGATATCGGACAGACACACCACCTTCTGCGCTGCCTTAGGAAAAAATGTTTTAACGAAAAAGCAACGCAACTCACAAGAAAAACAATTAAAAAAAAGAAACCTCTTGAAGATCATCTACTGCAAATATCTTCATGGCGCTTTGGTTAATGAGGTCTTTGGCTTCAGACACGTTGGTGCCTTGCAAACGAAGGACTACTGGCACACGCACGGACAGTTTCTGGGTGGCTTGGATAATTCCTGCAACAACAACAATTATAATAATCAATAATAATAATCAATATAATAATAGTTGAGTGCCTTTTGCTATAACGTCGCACCGCATTATGCCTCCAAATATATTAACGAAAATGGCCAAAACCTATCGAATCAGAAAATGGCAATACATACAAATATAATGAAGCAAAAAAATTCTTTCATTGGAGTCCTCGTTGATAATCCGGAATGCCTCGGTGACCTGCTCTGCCGTCGCCCCGCCGCCAACATCTAGAAAATTAGCGGGCTGCCCGCCATGGTACTTGATGAGGTCCATCGTGGCCATTGCAAGCCCAGCGCCATTCACTAAAATAATAGAAGCGCGTTACGTGCAGCACAATAAGCAGGAAAGCCAAACGACCAAGACACCCTATCGAGCCGGTTAAGCCAATGTAATTAAGATTAAATTTCGACGCTTGAACCTATTGGGTAATACTAAGCAATAAAAATACATAGATATTGTACATCGAGCTACCTCCCGGGGGTCTTCCTGTGACCAATCGCGGAGGTCGAACACATCTTTCTGGCGAAAAGCGGCGTTGTCGTCAAAATTAAGTTTGGAGTCCATGCAATAAACTTTATTAATATAAAGTTACGAATAAAAAGTCCAAACATAACAACAATTCTTATATAAAAAAAGTACTAATGACTGTAAAAGTTTTAAACAATAAAACTTTATGAATATATAATAAAAAAAATATAACAAACGAATTGTAAAACTTTATTTTGCTTATTTACTTTTATAAGTTATTATTTTTAATTCATTGTTCTTATTTAACGAAAATATCAACTTTCATTGGTTAAATATAATGAGAGCTTTGAAGGCTTTGAAAAGTAAGAAAGGTATTTTTGTTTATTTTTTCTTTATTATAAATTATCATTTTTTTGTTTACTGATACAATATTTATTTAATATTCCTCTCAATAATTTATTATATTTATGAAGTAGTGACTAAAAAAATCATATAATAAATTTTTTTATTATATAAAACTTCCAAAGTTTGAAATATTCTATAAATTTAAAAGTATTGGAACATTGACAGCTAAATTTGCGCAAATTAAATTTCCGATAGATAAACCAATAGAAGCGTACCTTTTCCATCATGATCTTCTGCGATCGGATTAATTTCAAGCAGCGTGCAATCCTTCTCAATGAATAATTTGTAAAGCCTTAAAATATTATTCACCGCCTCTGAAATAATTATACTTGTATTATTAAACAGGAAACTTTATTAATAATAATAGTTATAATAATAATAATGATAATAGTAATAACACTAACCATCGAGTGAATCCTGCGAGAAGCCCATATCTTGTGCAACTTTTCTTGCTTGTTTTTCGTTAAGTCCTGTTAACAAAATTTTATTAAAAGATTATTTTTGAGTACTTTGTATCTTTATAATACTTAAAAAAAAACAAAAGTTTTTTATGTACTATGAGCCATTAAAAATACCTTATTCAAATGTGTAACTTTTTAATATAAATATATATTTTTGTAGAAAAAAAAGTTAAAGTTAATATTTAAATCTATATAAAAAAATAAGACTTGTTATTTCCTTAATAATAAATAAAAGTTTACTTTCGTTCTCTTAAATACAACAGTTTTTGGTAATTTTTTTTCATTTTACTTTTTATATAATTTTTTTAATTTTAAAAATTACTGTATTTTAATATTTTATTATTATTTAAAATAAAGAAAAAATAAAAGTTTTTTGTATTTAAACTCGAACTTCTAAGTTTTTAATTTATAAAATATACATTAAATAATATTTATTTTTTTATAAACTTAAAAAAGTAAGAAAAATATTTATAAAACTTTTTTAAAATTCTATTAAGCAAAAAGTTTAAATTAGTATAAATTAAAACAAGTATAAAATACCATCAAAAGTGTACAATTAAATCTATAAATTTGCAAGAAGTTTTATAATAACTTTTTTATTAATATGAATATTATAATAAAGTAATAAAGAAATTTATTATAAATATAAAATCTGCATCTTTATAAAACTATTTTTACTTCAGAACTTTTTATGTGATTATAAATTTTAGTGTTACGTACTGAAATGATAAGTTAAATTATTCTATTAAACTTCAAGAAGTTTTTTTAAAATTTTTTGCTATTATATATATTATATTACTAAAAAATATATTATTATAATTAATTCTAAAATTATGGTGACTTAATTGTTATTGAAATTTGTTACGAATAAAAATTATAATATTGCGTTTAAAATGATAAAAAAAAAACGAATATTAAAAAGAACAAATTTTTTCTGAAAAATAAGCTAAAAAATTATATATAATTTTTCAAAGAGGATATTAATTTACTTAAATGAGTTTAAGATTTTAAGTAAAGCTCAAGAGATATATAATAAACAAATTTAATTTTCATTAAAACTTTTTAATTTATTTTAAGTGTAATATTTTTATTATCGTATATAAAAGATTTAACTTATAAAAACTTTTAAAATTATTATATCCTGTTTTTTTTAATAAATTTTTTTTAAAAAAATTCAAAATTTTAAACTTCCAAAAAAGTTATTATTGTAGATTTCATATATATAAAAAAACGGAAGTATATTTTAAAAGAAAACCGTTAAATATATTGATGGGCGATTTGATGATGGCGTCTGGAGAATTAGCAGCTACAGACTCAATGTCCACGCCTCCCTGAGAACTTGCAATAATCACGGGCCCCTGTTAAAAAGAAAAATTAAAAAAATTGTTTCCAAATTTACTTTGAGAAAAAATATTATTTTAGTTGAGTCAAAAGTTATTAAAAAAAAATAATAATTCTAACGAAATTATAAAATTATAATTAATTATTAATACTGTTAAAATTACAGTTTGAAAGTTATGAAAACTATAACATTGATAATTAAGTTCTTTTAAATTTTATAAAATTAATTTTAAAAATGTAATTAGCGTTGAAATTTAAGAAGCTCTCACCGTTAATAAATTCACGAATTGAATCTAATATTTATAGTGTAGACCTTTATACTATAATGTTTTAGAAGTAATAATAATATGTTTCTTTTAAATTTATTAAAGAAACAAAACTTTAAATCTAATTAGCGTTGAAATTTAAGAGGCTCTCATACATTAATAACTTCTTTAAACATAAAGGAATTTACGATCAGAAAATTAGAATAAAAAATTTAATAAACTTTTTAATTTAAAAATTAATTTTAATAATCTTTTCAAATTTATTGTTTATAATTTTTATTAAATATTTTTGATAAATTTTTTAATTAAAATTCAATTGTCATCTTTAATATAACATTTTCCTCAATTTTTATATTATTTGAAAAACCATTTAAAGATGTACAAAAGCCAATTTTTTATTATTTTACTTTGAAAAGATTAATTATCAATAAAATTTAAAAATCAAACCTAAACATTAAAAAAAAATTGGAATTAAAATTTCTATATTACATATAAAATAAATTAAAGTCAATAAAACAACAATACAATGAAAATTATGAATACTTAAATGTTCATTATTTTTATATGTAATAAAAAACTTTACTTATGACTTAAATAAATATAAAAATTTAATTTACACTATAAAAATTAAATATTTACACTGAAAACTATAAAACAAAAAAACTAACTAAACATTAAAACTACTAATAAACAAAAACAATTTAATTACTTTTAATTATAAATAAATGAAATTTAAAAATTTAAAAATTTACACTAAAAACTATTGAACAAAAAAAAATAACAAGACATTAAAACCACTAACGAATATAATTTTATTAAATTTAATTATAAAAAAATGTAAACTACAAAAAATAAATATTTACTAGAAACTATAAATAAATAAAAGAACATTAAAACTATTAATAAACAAAAATAATTTGATTAGTTTATTAAAAAAATTGAAATATAAAATTTAAAAATTTTCCTTAAAAACTATAAAAAATAAAAAAATAAGGAGACATCAAAACTGCTAATAAACAAAATAATTTGAAAACTATAAAAATTAAAATTAAAAAACGGAATTGTTATTACTGTTATAAAATAATTATTTTTATAATTATAATGGTCTATGGAGTCGAAATAAATACACCCACTAAAAAACTCTTTAGTTGTAAAGTATTAAATAAATATTTATAACTATTTCTTATATTATTTAAATAATTTAATAAATTTAAAGAAACTTACACTAAAAACTTGTAAAATTAGTATAGTTTATAATAATCGAAACTTATAGGTAAGCTATGAAATTCATTGAGTACTATTAAACAAGAAAATTGAATGAAAAATTTTATTTTAATATTATATTTATTATATTTTATATTTCAAAAAAATATAAACTTAATAAGTTACATTAAAAACTTTATTAAAAAATTAAACAAAGATTTTTTTTTTGACTACTAATAAAAAAAATTAATTTAATTTATTATAAATATAAGTAATATGTGATCTGTAAAATTCACTAATAACTATCAAAAAATATGATATTAAAACGAGAACGTTTATTTTAAAATTAAATATTATAATTTATATCTCAAAAAAAATATTAACTTAATGATTTACATATAAAACTTTAATAAACTAGTGATTAAATATATTTTTTAATGCCACATTTCAAAAATTGATATAATTTTTTATTATTATTAATAAAATATAGTTTAAAATTAATTTAATCAGATATAGGTTTTCATTAGGTATTCATAAAAAATTATTAAATTAATTTATTATAATTATAAATTATATGTAAGTTGTAAAATTTACTATAAACTATTAAAAAGAATATTTTTAAGGAGAACATTCCAAAATTAAATAAAAAAATTATAATTAAAATATATAAATTTAATATTTTACTTTAAAAATTTTAATAAAAAATTAAATATGTAAGTAACTACTAATAAGAAAAAAATAAATAAATTATATTTATATTCTAAAGAACACGAAACAAAAAAAAATTAATCAGTTAAGTATTTTTTTTAACCACTATCTTTTTTAATTATAAAGTATATGTAAACTTTAAAAATAATAAAACAAAAATTTTTATCAAAAAAAATGTTAAACAGATTTTTTTAGTTTTAACAAAATTAAAAAATTAATATAAATTTATTAATTATAAATTATATACTACTTATAAATATATATATTAGCATTAAAAATATAAAACTAACAAAAATTACTAATATTATATTTTTTTAATTGTAAAATTTGCACTGCAATTAATTTATATAAGTAAATTGTTTTAATTTATTTTTACAATTAATTTATATAAGTAAACTATTTGTCAGAATTAATTAGAAAATTTAAATATAACTGCAAAGTACTTATATATAATTAATAATTACAAAAATTAATGAATAAAACTTTTGGTGAAAACTATTAGTAAAACTTGAACCCAATAGTTTACAAGTAAACTTTGAAATAAAAATTATTTAAAATTTAATTATATAGCATTTAACTTATAGAAATTGGAAATATTAAAATTTTTAATAAAAAAGTTATAAACTCTTGAAATAAAATACTAATAGAACTCGCATAAAAAACTATTAAAAAAAATAATCATACATTTTTTAATTTTTATTAATCTACTTATTAGAATATTATTAATAGCAAAGATTTTTGAAATTGATTAATAAAAATTATGAAAAAAACTCAGTAAAACTTTAAGGCATAAATTTTATGAATAATTAAGATTGATTAGAGCAAAATCAATTTTATTATAAACTTTTAAATTTAAATATTTTTCAATATAAACATTTTGAAAAATTTATTTATAAAACCTTTAAAGAAAAATAAAAAATTGGTAAAAATTGCAGGTTTTAGTTTAATAAATAAACTATTTTTGAAAAAAGAAGTTAAAAATAGTAAATTGTTAATATATGATCTTATTATATTTTAATTAACAATATAAATTTTTTCTAAAGATTTATAATAAGTTGATAAAACTTTTGAAGAGGAGTCCATAGTAAAAGCAAAGTAGTATTCTTTTCTGCAGTGGATTTGCTCGCAAATATAAACTTGATTGCAGGGCCTCCCTCTCACACCTGTTTGCTTGGTTATTAATTTGTGGCCGATCATTTGCTGAGCAAATAAATCTGCTTCCTCTGGACTAATGAAATATTTATAATATAAAAAAATTAGATTATAAAATTATGAGTAAAAAAAATTATATGAAAAGTTATAGACCTTGAAATACGAAGTACGCCGCCTTGCAGACCGTTATCAAAAGTTCCTTTTCCTCGACCTTTAAATTTATATATAAATAAAATAGTGGAAAATATTTCAAAGTAAAATTTTAAAGATTATTAATAAACCTCCGGCAAGAACTTGAGCTTTTATAATAAGAGATCTGGTTTTTAATTTTTTTGCAGCAAGCGCTGCGCTTTTTGGCGAGTCAGCCACCATTCCTCTCGGGACACTTACGCCAAATTTACGTAGTAGATCCATGGCTTCATTTTAATATATATTGTATAAGGGGTTAGTATATAGAAAATAACTAGTTATTTAAACTTTGTACAAATAAAGAGTTTGTTTATAAACCATGATGTTCGTGAATGGATAAATATCGTAAAGATGTCTGGTGAAAAAGAGAGGATCTCCTCCATATAGAGTTCTGTTATAAATTTTAAGTTTACTGTCATATAAAGCATTTCTCGATACAGTTTTAATAATAATACGCTTCGAAAGTTGGAGTAAATAAACTGCATCGTCAAGGTTCATGCGTGAAGGCGGGCTTGAAGGCAAACTCCACCCTTAAGACGAATACTACATACCACTTTTGTCGCGCACTTTTTGTAGGTAACAAATAATATCCTATTTTGGTGTGATTTAAAAAGTTTTGCCAATAAAATAATTATGAAGACTTCAAAGTGAATTAGTAAGTCGTCAGCATATACGGCTCGCTTAGTGACTTATTACTTGCAATATCCTTTACTTTTTGAAGGAGGGGAACTTGCTTACCTTACATTTTAGCCAACTTAGTTGTGGTACGTCTAAAGTTGTTTCGAAACAAAATTAAAGAGAAAACGTTGAAGGGCCTTGTCGTACTTAGTTACACCTAAGATTTTGATAATCACGGATTACAAAGAATAGTCTTGTAGCTATATCTTGTGGTTAAAAAAAGAATTTTGAATATACTTTTAAAAGTTAAAAGCTTATATTAAACATTGGATACCGACTTTGGAGAGTTTAAATTATAGATAAGTCGATTGTATAATAAAGTAAAAGAGCTTACCCTACGTTTTGTAACATATAATCAAAAACTATATAGCTCTAGACGTTAGTTAATTAATTTTACTAGCTTAAAAGAAATGTAAAAACTAATATTTTATAGTTAAAGCAAGTTCATGGGTAACACTTACCGTTGGCACAGTACTTATAAAGCTTTACTTTTTCCTTAGCCCTCCGTTTAGCAAACTATATTTTCTATCACTATAGCCAAGAAAGGGATTAGGTTCGCTTATGTCTTGAGAAAGCTCTTTCAAGTGTACGTCCTTCAAGAGAAACAAACTTTTTAAAGCCCTTTAAAATCTGTTTTCTTGCAAAAAGTTTCGAAGTGTCTTGCCTATATAAGATCTCTTATAACGATTTGACAATTTTTAGAAACCTGCTTCTTTTTAGTACACAGAATTCTATACTATCATTCTTCGCAGAGGACACTACATGAAGGATTGACACTCTCCAATCTCAAAGCGCAAAATATTCTGCCTTCCGAAAATTCACTTGTCCGTTTAAATCAAAAAAACGTTCCGAAGCTTTCTTTTGTTTTCAAATTTTATTATGTAACAGTAGACAAAGAAAAGATAAACCCGTCTTAACTTCACCTTCCTGTAGTTTTCAGTAGCTAAACAGATTTTTACCATCTAACTTTTATAGGCCTTCTGTCTACATCCAGATAAACATCAGATTTTGAGTATCTTCGCTAATTTTGTATAAATTATCTTTACTTTTGAATCTTTCTTAATGAATACTCAAACGTTTTACCGAATAAACACGAAACAACAAAAGCACCGAAATATATCATACAAGTACTTTCCTATACTACCCAGCTATTTTTTTAAGTTACAGCTCTTAAAGGGCTAAATGTTAGAAATTAGGTAACGCTTTATGCTTTGGGGCGATGCACAACTTTAGTGTTACAGTGCAGTTACTTACTGCCTATTTTAAGTATATGAAATTAGAGCAATGAGCTATGTATATATTTCTCCTCTCATACCAAAAATTATTAAACGTTAACAAACCGCCACGTTCGGTTAATTTATTAGGTTAAAAATTTATTCTAACTGAGCTTAAATATTGTGTGTAAAAATGGTTATAAACACAAAAAAGGAACAAATCATACTTCGACAAAAATAAGTAGAATATTAGTTAAAAATTCAAAAGGAGAACATTAATATTTATTTCTTCTAACATTAAAGAGTAATAGATGCTTAAGTAAAGTATAAGTTTACTTAATTTAAAAGATTAAACGTATATTCTCTAGTAGTTTCTTGTAGAGCTACTTTAACATAGTTACTTTTGTACTTTGTAAAATGGAGCTTCAAAGCTTTTAGAACATTGCTCCAACATTTCAGTTGTGACTTCTTCAGAATCAGAAGAGAATTCAGGTAATTGTTCAATGGAAAGAGTAGACATATAACCCAAGAGAATTTGTTTATCTCCATTTTTCAACATATCAGAAGTTTTTTGACCTTCGTATTTATTGACACAATCCATTACTTTTATCAAGTCCACTAACTCCTTTCTAAGACTTTTTCTTTCAGACGGACCGGACGGAAATAGCAAGCCGGCGTGGTTACAAAGTTTTTCAAGCAGTTCATCCCTTAAAAGATTATAAATGACTCTTTCCCTTTCATCCCCTTCTCTACAATAAAACTTTTTAGCGGACCATTCTGACTCTGAAGAAGGAAAATGTAATTTATTATTTATAACTTCTTCGCCAGCTACCGGAGAATGTAATTGTCGAATTCTTAGAAATTTTCTTCTAAAACTATTATAGATATATTGATAATTCTTCAAAAGTAAATTTATTTTTAGCATTTTAAGTGAAATTAAGGTCAGACAATTATGCTAAGGAAGACCCAGAATTGCTTTTTAACTTCAGTTGTGCTAGAATTAGACGTGACTTACACAACTCGCTGTTCGACACTCCTTTTGCTGACCCCGTTAGTAATTAGATAGTTATAGGTTTTCCATTGTTTAACACTTCACATTACTTTTAATGACACAGTTAATACCTTGAAGATACTTTATAACTTTTTCTTCCGAATCTAAGCTTTTATAAAATAAATGAATCCAATTTTTAAAACAAACTCAAGCCTGTACGTTAACATTATTTATTAACTAAAATTGGAAAAAACAAATAACTTGCACTAAGAGGTAAACTTTTCCTTTGACGGGCGGTGTAACAAAATGCTATTAATACTACGAACTAAGTCTTTTCAATGATAATTACTAAATTTACGTGGTCTGTACAGCAAAAAAAAATTTATTTTAATGTAAAGTTTTTTTAGTTGAGTTTTACCACTTGTTCTTATATGAATAAGACAGTTAAGGTTAGGTGGGTTGTATTTGAAAATGTATAAATTAAAAGACTGAAAAAGTGAATAGTACACAGGTAGAAAAAGAAGAAAAAAAAGGAAAACTATAAAAATCAGTAGTCAACTGATATTTTTGTTTAAACTGTAAAAGCTATTTTAGTTATTACTAGACGCCCTCTCTTCTTTTACTCAAAATAATATACTTTTAGCTTCTTGTACTATAGTTGTGTAGAGAGAGAAAGACTCATTCAACATTTATGACCTATATAAACGCGCATTTGCGTACATGGTAAACATAAAACATTTAATTAACTCTGCTCTACTCTACAAAAAGCGAAATTTGCAATTTTTTTCTAAGGGCTTTAGGCAGCAGTAACAAGTTTGAAATATATCTTCCTCACTTTAGAATTCGAACTGCTCTTATAGTTGTGCATATGTATAACTTCCACCTTTACTCTGAAAACGTAACCAGTGAAGCAGCCTGTACAATTTAATAGTTTTGCTACACTTAAAAAGAAAGTGGTTTTAACCTGCAAAAACTTCTTTATCCCATTCTTTAAATAGATTTTCACTTATATATTTGTAACTCTCGTATCTCATTTTCACTGTTGCTATTTACTTAGATAGTCTTTATCATATAATATGTACAAGTTTGTAAACTACTTTTCCTTTATTTTTTATAAAGCACCTAATAAGTCTAAACGGAAATTGACAACGAGTTTTTCTATTAAAAATCTTACTAAGTTATCGAAAACCTTTGTCCGTAAGTTTTTTTATTAGGAGAGAAAAGTAGGTTAAAGTAATATACTTTTCCTTTTGAGCACTTCTACGGAAACTTCTTTAAATTTATAAAAGTTATTAGAAAAAGAAAGTCTGAAACTCTTCACTTGACAATTTTATTAAATGTAGCTTGCCTCTTTAAAAAAAACAGTGGCTTTCAGTAAAAGATTAAGATGGCTAAATTGTAAAGATGCTTGGTAAATAAAGTGCAGACTGCTTAGTCTTGTTAGTAATCTAAACCACCAGGTTTATTTATTTACTTATTTATTAAGTTGACATACTACAGCCAGACCAAGGTTAGAAGAGGCCTAAAATACTGCTTAATCTGATTTTACAAATTAGAAGAGAAGTCCTCTACGTTCGGAAGGCCGTTAGGGCGGTGAGGTGTCGTAGTCTCCTGCAACAAGTGTAAGCACCCGGGTCTTAGGGGATAAGCTAAATATTTATCGTAGCCCTCCACGGTAATGCGACAAAAATATACTTAGAGAGCGTTCCCACTTCGAATAACGGCGCAAGTGAGCACCTCGGACAAGCCAGGGGCTCCTGTAATTATTCGCAAACAGTCGATTTTGAACCGCTTGAAGTCGCTTTATGTAGTTGACTGCCATACGAACGAATATTCGTAAACAAAGCTTAAGTTTGTCGCTTATCGAGAAAAAACTCTTATTACACAAAAGAGGGTGAAGTTCTTTAATTGTTAGCTTTGCATTGTTGATAAGGTAGTCAACGTGATAGCGCCACGAAAATTGCTGGTCGATCCACATACCCAAGTATTTTTTGACTTCCGTATGCCAGGGGACAAATTGACTGCAAAGCTTTATAGTAGATGGTGTCGTCGTTTTATATCTTCCCTTCGATGGAAATATAGCTTTGCACTTAAGGGGTTTAACTTTAATTCGCCACTTATCAAACCCTACCTCAAGTGCCCTACGTTTGCAAGTGTTTTAAAGCTAGAGAAGGAGATTTCGAGCAGGCATAGCCAGTTGGACCGTCCACAAACTGTTACAAAAAGTGAAGGTATTCTCAGACGTGGGTATGTCCTACCTAATTAAGCAAGATGGGAGATAGCAGCAAGTCTTATAGATTCCCATAGCCAATTCAGTTTAAAGATGAACTGGCTTTTCCCACTCTAACAAAAAATGTCCTTTGCCGCAGAAAGTGGAAAAGTGAAAGAATATAATCTGGTACCTTCAGGATAGATAGTTTCATTAAAAGTCCAAAGTGCTACACCATGCCGAATACTTTTTCGACATCTAAAAATAATGTACATGGCGACTTAATGTTATTAAACCCTTGGGTGATGTCTTCGGAAAAACGCAAAAGCTGCTGTGACCCCTTCGGAATCCAAACTGAAACTCTGGTGTACCATCAGTACTCTCCACAAACTTTCGCAAACGTTCAAGTATTACAGCTTCAGCCTCAGCTATTTTAC